CACCTGCCCCAGACCACACAGCAAGTAAGCAAAGCGTGGATTCAAACACAGACAACGCTTGAGTTCCCTGGGAGCAGAGATTTCGATGTGTTTTTCTCATGGCTGTGTCTCTAGCACCTTGACAGTGCCTGGGACATGGTAGGCATTAAATTAATATTTGTTCCATGAAGGAGGGGTGGAACAAACCAGAACACATACCAGGTTGCTCAAGTTGCGTTCTTCACCCCTACCCTAAACGTGCCCAGCCTGAGGTGCAGAGAGAAGAAGCGACGTGCTGGGATTTCACTGCTGTTTGAAGCCAGGCTTGCCTGTGTCCCCATCGCACTTGTAACCCCCGCAAAGAGAAGATGGGGTTGGAGTGGTCATTTCCCACTGGTTCATCTTCCGTCTCCCCCACAGGCCTGGGCCCCTCGCTGCTCTCTCTCTACTCGGATGAGGACACCACCCAGCCCAAGAGCCACCTCCCGCCAGCAGCAGGCGTGGCCCGGGTCAACTGAGACAGCCCCCTTTCCCACCCCTCTTCTGCTCCCCGAGAAAGGACCTCAACCACACTCCCAAGTCGGCAGCCAACACACAGGATGGTGGGTGCCAGGAGAGGGGGTCCCTCTCTCTTCTGAGTGCCCCCCACCAACCTCAGGCCTACCTCAGCCCTTCACCCCTCGGGTCCCCTGTCTGGGGGCTCTTTGGGGTGGCGTCAGCTCAGTGACCTCTGGGGGGGGTCCCTAGCCCCCCCCTCCTCATTCTCTCAGGACTTCCCTTGGGGTTCTCAAGTTTTGGTTACCTCGTTATCCCTTTCTCAGACTCTCTTGGCTTTATTTTGGGGAGCTAGGTGGGGGGTCAAGTTGAGGGACAGATCTGAATTTCTGGGCCCTGGGGGGTATTGATAAGCATTATCACTTTGCTATCCATCCTTAGTATTGTTGTTTTCTTGATATGGTTTTTAATTGCTATGAATAGCTGGGGGCCATCAGAATGGGGGACTCTGATCTTCCCCCTCCTCAGGCATCAGTGTGTGCGGGGGGGTGTCCCTGGGCCAGGCCTTACCCCCAGCTACTTCCGATTGAGCCCTCAGCCTCCCAGGCTGTGCCAGCTCTGCCTCCCCTAACTCTGGACTTCCTGCTGCCCCCAGCCTCACATGGATACTGACTTCATTTGTAGTCTTCCTGGTCCAAGTGCAGCCTCCAACTCCCTCCACTTCCAAACCACACAACCTCCAACGTTCTCTGATTCTAGACCACACAACCTCCAGCGTTCTCTGATTCTAGACCACACAACCTCCAGCGTTCTCTGATTCTAGACCACATAACTTCCAACACACTCAGTCTAGACCCCTCATCCTCCAAACCCCTCTATTTCCAGATCTCACCTCCTACCCTATGTTAATAAGACCATGGTCTTCAAACTTGTCTGGTTCTAGACCTCACAACCTCCAACTCCCCCTGGCTCCAGAACTAATGACAACCAGATTCCTCTTGTTCTAGATTGCACCCTCTAATTGCCTCTGGGTCTAGATCACTCCCTATAAATTCCTCTAGTTCTAGATCTCAGACCCCCCAACTCGCTCTGATTTTCAGGTCTTACGACCTCCAATTTCCTCCGGTTCTGGACCGCACAACCCCAAGCTTCCTATTGGTTCTAGAGCTCCCATTCTGGTTCCAAATGTAGACCTAATTTCTAAATTATTTTGCTTCTAAACATGATACCCAGCTCATTCCTCTTCACCTCTCTACACTTAAGACTTGCTTTCTTGATGACAAACAAGTCAAATGAATCTGATGTCTGGATTCTATAATCAGTTCTTCTAGAATCAGACATCATGTTCCAGTTCTCTGGTTCTAGACCTCATAACTTCCATCATTCTAGACTACCCGATCTCTAGACCTTGCAACCTCCAAGGCTCCCTGATTCCACATCTGACAATCTCCATTTCTCTGGCTGTAGAACTCATCCACTTGTTTTCTGATTCAAGTTTGCATCCTGTAAATTCCCCTAGTTCTGGACCTCACAAACCCCTACTCCCCTCATTCTAGATCTTAGGACTCCAAATTACTCTCAGTCTAGAACCAAACCTTTAAATGTCTTCCGATTCTGGACCCCCACCTTAGAGACTTCTCTTGTTCCAGACCCAACAATTCCCATCCCTTTTGATTCTATATATTATGGCTCCCAATATTCCCCTGGTTCTAGAACTTGGCCTTCAAACTTTTTCTAATACTAGTCTTTACTCTCTAAACTGCTCTGGTTCTAGACCTCACAGCCTGTGGCTCCCTCTGCTTTGAGGTCCATATTCTTCTGCTTCTAGAACTCAGCCTCCAAATACTTCTGGTTCCAGAATCTAGACCTTCAAGAATCTAAACTCATCGGGCTTCAAATGTTAGAACCACTAACTTCCTGATTCCAGACGTCCCCCTCCAAATTGGATTCTGGCTTTCCCATCAGTCTTAGTTATCTAGTGCTGCTATAATAGAAATACCACAAGGGGGTGGCTTTAACAAACAGAAATTTATTTTCTCACGGTTTAGGAGGCTGGAAGTCTGAATTCTGGGTGCTGGCTCTAGGGGAAAGCTCCGTCTGTCTGTCAGCTGTGGGGGAAAGTCCTTGTCTCTTCTGAGCTCCTGCTCTTGGGCTGTCTTCATGTGGCTTGGCATTTCTCTTCTCTCATCTCTGTTTCTTAACTTGCCTGTTTAATCTCTTTTATATCTCAGAAGAGATTGACTCAAGCTACACCCTACACTGATCCTGCCTCATTAACATAAAAAACAAATGGGATTATAACAACAGGCACAAAGGTTAGGATTTACAACAAATATTTTTTAGGGACACAGTTCAATCCATAGCATTCCACCCTTTGGCCCCCCCAAAAATGTATGTCCTTGCTATGTGCAAAAACACATTTACCCCATCACATCATCCCAAAAGTCTTAAATGAACTCCAAGTCCAAAATCTCATCTTCTGAATCATCTAAAGCAAACAGTGTGACGTTAGGTGTCATGTTTCATCCTGGGGCAAAATTCCTCTTCATCTGTGAACTGATGAATTCTAGACTACAGGTTATCTGTTTCCAAAGGACAATGGTGGGAAAGGTACAGGGTTGACATTTCTATCACAAATGGAGAAATTGGAGGGAAAAAAGTGATAACCGTCACCCAGCAAGTACCAATCCCAGTGGAACAATTTACATGAGCTCTCAAGGCTTGAAAGTAGTCTTCCACTCTCTGAGACCATCTAGGCAATGACCTTGCCCTCCAGACGCTCGGTATTGGCCATGCCCCCTGGATTTTGGATGGAGGCACCTCAGCCCTGGGCTTCCACTCTGCCTTTCAGGCCACTGGGACAGCAACTCTGCTCTTTTAATTTGGACAGCCCCATTCTCCGAGTCCATCTGAGTGGAGACACCTACTACCCCCAACCCAACCCCACTCTTACGCCTTTCAGCTTTAGGCAGCTGACCCATCCTCTTGGACAAACTGAATGGCAGCCCCACAATCCAGAACTGAGTTGGTGAAGAGCTGCCTTTGAAACCTAGGAGGCCGGGATTCTGCCCTTTGAGACCCCAGAAGCCATGACTCACCTCTTGATACTGAGGAAGCGCTGTTCCTTGTGCTCCTTCCAGCAGTTCTCCTGATCTTCCAAGCTGCTCCACGGATGGTTCTTTTCTTTTCTTGGAGGACAAAGATGGGGCCCCTTTGGCCTGTTTCCTGCCTGTAGAATTCCAAGAGGCAGACAGATTTCCTTCCTTGTGTTCTTTCTCTGTCCCCTTCAGTCTAAGCTGATGGGTTTTCTGCTGTGGTTGCGGGTTAGATTCATCAGTCACAGGCTTCATCTTGTGTGTGTGTGTGTGGGTCACTGAGGCATTGCAGTGAGTAGGCAGATTTGCAAACCCTGAATCCCCAATGCAGCAGGGGGCCTCGCTGACTCTCTCTGGTCTTCAATGCATGCAAGACCAATTCAGAGGGACATGCAGCCTTGTGACCATGGTTAAAAAAAAAAAAGGCTAGATGCCACAAAGTAGGTGCCAGTGCCTTAACCGTATGTGTATTGTCTTCCATCCTTCAAGGGGAATGCTAACTTTCTCTCCTTTCATACAACACAGGCTTCATCTTCTTAACAAATGATTGTGTAGCTACATCCTTGGTGAACATTCTAAGGTATGTGTCCTCAGTTTCTACAACAGAATTTTCCAAATTTAAGTTTTGCTTTCATTTTGCGTAGTTCATTTTTAAGTTCTCTCTCTTTCCTCTCACATTTGACTACAAGTAGCAAGGAGAAATCATGCAGCTCTTTTAAGATCTCCTCAGCCAAATTTCCAGGCTCATCACTTACAAGTTCTACCTTCCACCAAACATTTGAGCATAAGTCAGGCAAGTTCTTTGCCACTGCGTTAAAAGGATCACCCTTCCTCCATTGTCAAAATACATGTTCATAATTTTCTCTTAAAGGCTCACCAGAGGCACATTCAACATCCACATTTCTAGCAACATTCTGTTGCTAGCACCCTGTGTATTCTCTAAGATGATACTTTCTCCATAGTTCTCTTCATTTCCTTCTGAACCCTCATTAGAATTGCCTTTGGCATCCATAATTCTACCAACAATCTCTTCAAGGCAATCTAGGCTTTTACTGTTAGGCACCTTAAAATTCTTCCAGCCTTTACTCATTACCCAATTCCAAAACCGTTTCCACATTTTAAAGGTATCTGTTAGAGCAGCATCCCACTCCCAGGACCAAATTCTGTCTTAGTTATCCAGTGTTCCTGTAACACAGATACCACAACTGGATGGCACTGAAAATAGAAACTTAAGTCTGGATTCAGGATGCTGGCAGAGCTCTGGTGGCATAGTGCCTAAGGCATTTGACTGCTAACCAGAAGGTTGGCAGTTCAAACCCGCCAGCCATTCTGCAGAAGGAAGACGGGGCAATCTATTTCCGTAAAGATTTACCACCTCGGAAACCCAATGGGGGTCACTCTGAGTCAGAATCGACTCGATGGCAGTGAGTTTGGTTTGGTTTTTAGTTTGGCTCTCAGTCAGCTCTGGAGGAAGATCGGTGTCTCTTGGAGCTTCTGCTCCTGAGCTATCTCCATATGGCTTGACACCTCTTTTCCCCTATCGCTACTTCCTAGCTTCTTTGTTTAATCTTGTTTATACCCCAAAAGAGTTTGATTCAAGAAGATATACCCTACACTAATCCTGGCTCAATAACATAACAAGGACCCATTCTCAAATGGGATTAGAACCACAGACACAGAGGTTAGGATTTACAACACACATTTTTAAGGGACACAATTCAATCTCTAACACCTTCCCAACTCAACTTTCTCCAATTCCCACCTTCAGTCTTGTGTCTTCCCCTTCCAGATCCTTACCCTTCAGGCCTCTCTGCTCACGGACTGCATGCCTAGGTTGTTCCTTTCTCACTCATATCTCTGCCCTAGATTCCCCCCTCCACTCTCTACCCAGCCCTCCAGACAAGCACTCACCTTTCCTTTGCCCCAAA